ACTACGTTAAATATATACCTAATAGAATAGTAGAAACTACGTTAAATATATACCTAATTATGTGAAACTACGTTAAATATATGCCTAATGATGTGAAACTACGTTAAATATATACCTAATTATGTGAAACTACGTTAAATATATGCCTAATTATGTGAAACTACGTTAAATATATGCCTAATGATGTGAAACTACGTTAAATATATACCTAATGAACCATATTATTCATCAAACCATTCAAAATCAAGAGTTAAGTTTGTTTTTTTACATGACCTGCGCAACTATGAGAATAAGATTACGTATCCTGTCCGCTGTGGATTTGTAATATATGTTCAATATAACAAACCCAAATACAACTTATGTATCCTCCCGTCCATTGTGAGTTTGTAGTACGTCTTCAAAATAGCAAATCCAAATACAGGTTTTAGTTACATATATCTCGTCCTCTGGAAGTTTCTCCAACGTGTTAAAAATAAGAACCTCACATACAGGTTTAATCATATATATGTATATCCTGTCCTCTGTGAGCATGTTGTTCGTATTAAAGACAAAATTTCAAATACAGGTAACAGGTTTGGTTACATATATCCCATCATGTGTATTCTATACGTGTTTAAAATAAGAAAACCCATATACAGAATTATATATATCCCGTAGTATGCAAGTTAGAATTACGTGTTTTAAAATAAGAGACCCAAATACGGGGTATGTGTTTCGTGCTCTGTGTGTCTTTACGTCTTGAAAATAAGACACCCAAATACATGGTATGTGTCTCATCCTTTGTGTGTTTGTAATCCGCCTTGAAAATATGGAACCCAAATACAGGTCTGGTTATGTGTACTGTCCTCTGTGAGTTTTTAATACGTGTTGAAAATACAGGTTGTTAATGTGTCCCATCCTGTGTGGGTTTGTAATATGTGATGAAAATATGAAATACAAATACAGGTTATGTGTCGTCCTCTCTGCGTTTGTAATACGTGTTGAAATTAATAAACCCAAATACAGGTTTAGTTATGTGTCCCGTTCTGTGTGAGTTTGTAATATGTCTTGAAAATAAGAAACCCAAATACGAGGTATGTGTTTCGTCCTCTGTATGTATGTAATGCGTACCGAAAATAAGAAATCCGAATACATGTTTAGTTACGTGCACCATCCTTGCGAGTCTAATACCTGTTGAAAATAAGAAACATAAATACAGGTTTAGTTATGTGTCCTGTCCTCTGTGAATTTGTAATGAGTGTTGAAAATAAGAAACCTAAATACATACTTAGTTACGTGTCCTGTCCTTTGCAAGTTTGTTATACGTCTTGAAAATATGAAACCCAAATGCAGGTTTAGTTATGTGTCCCGTCCTGTGTGAGTTTGTAATACGTGTTCAAAACAAGAAACCCAAATATAGGTTTAGTTATTCCCATCCTGTGTGAATGTGCACTGTATATTCAAGATAAGAAATCCATATTACTTGACATTACTTTATTAAATGTAGCATTGATGTTGAGTCACTGGTTTATAATGTCTTTTTTTGTTTTATATAAAGCATGTTCTTTGATTGAGTTAACTAAAACAATATTTTTTCTTCAATTTGCCCAAATTTCCGATAAAGATTTATAAAGCGGAAACGGAGACAGTGTAGGCTACTAGGATAATTTAACACAAAGAGGTTAAAGCTGTGACACTGATAGCAAATTTACCATTTGTTATTTCCTTTTGTAGTCAAGCTGACAGATTTTGTAATTATTTAATACCCATTAGGCCCCTATTTCTAAAGAAATAAGATAAAACATTTACAAAAAAAAGCGAAAATGATAACCAACACAGTTTACGAAGCTTTTTTTTTCTTTCTGTAAATGTAAGTTCAGATAATCTTATACAAATAATAATTTCTTCTTTTTTTATGTTAAAATTATCAACGCATAGAAGGAGAGTGAAAAGGCGTGTTTATCTATTTACCTCACTGTAAGCCGCAGAGAATCCACCCAAGGCGAAGGCGTGGTAATATATTTTGTGCTCCTGAATACTTTGTTTACCTGTCAGAAATGTGGAAAATATAGATAAACAGAAAAAAGGTTTTTGAACTTTCAATCATTTAGTAAACTAGGGACACGTATATATACCGAAAATGGCCTAGATACGCGATTCGGTTAACTTGAGAGCGATAAATAAATCCAAACAAAGCCTTGTAATTAACGTTCAATTTGTTTCGTTGTTTATTTTATATTTCTGGTGAATAATTGTAATCGGTCCGAAAGCTCGGGCCTAAAATAAAGTAGAATTTTGAATTACAAGAATCATGTCACTAATACGAATTATTCTAGTTTGCAATACCTCATATTCACAAATACTATTCAGCTTTTACTTAATCCTCCAATTTTCGACTTAATTATTAATTTTATATTTTGCTTGTTACAATACTCAGTGTAACGAATTGACCAAAGAAATAGAAGGAAATCACTAATTGTTTATAAAAAAAAATACTTCAAAAAGAGTCCGTAATTATAGATTAACTGTAAAATTGGTGAAACTTTTGTTAACATTTTCTATGTGACCCATACGTCATTAGGACCCTGTCAAAACAGTTTCCGTGCCTAAAATTAATTTGGTGCATAAACACTGAAAGTTTGGGGGAAAAGTAATAAAAAACGACGGGGATATAGACTCCGTCAGTAATTCTAAAGTTAAGACTAACGATCTTTCTGACACTAAACTTACTTTTTCGTGAGAATGGTGCTAACTTGATAACAGAGTTCGGATTGAGTTCTCTGTCAATAACGTAACAAATACCATTGGTTAAGTAAATGTTATTATAACGTTGGTTCTTCCATAGATGCCCACAAGTCTGTAAATTAGAAAAGTAAAAACAGTTAAATAATACCCACTCTATCAACTTTAGATATATATATATATGTTGGAAATAACAAGTTCCTTAACCTTGACGGCTGTTGTTTATCAATACTACAATTAATTATACTCCAAGGCTTGAAAAAGTATTTTCCGTAAGGTCTTTGTTAACTATTTTCGAACTTCATATTCATATTATCAGCCATTAGTTTACATCTCTTATTACCGGATAAAAACTCGAAACAGTTTTTGAGTGGAATTTTCGCTTTACCTATATACTTTACGTAACTTTTGCATCTCAGTGAAATAATTCGATTACTGTCATTAAACAGCAGTATAGTTATAAGCCCTCTAGTGGAACTAAAATGGATGTCATTAAATCATTAAACGATATCATTTTATCACAAATATGCATTTTCTATAGGTTAATATTTATTTCTGGTGGCATAATTTCATTAAGTGATTTTTACTAATTAAGGGCATATTATCAGAGATAACAATAACAATTTCTAAAGTAAAAATAATATAATATATGCACTCATGCCACATTCATCTTCCATAAAATTTAATTAACTGCTATGTGTAACTTATATGAATTTAGCAATTACTTAGTGAATGAGATCTAGTACAAATTTAACATAAACTTGAATTCGCCAAGATCTGTTGACGTGTTACAAAGCTGAAACACGACAGTGGAAGAATAATTTACACCTCTCAATGAAAGGAATGGATAAATATGTACAAAATTATTCAATCGAGTAAAGTGAAACGTCAGTCTGATGTAAATTGAATATTCTCGTCAAAACGATAATGAAATTCGACTATGCACTTATACTTATTTGCGGTTTTAACTATATTCATAATAAAAAATGAAAAATATAGAATATGATAAATATAGTTTAAACCAAATTTACAAGAGATGTCTAATGTATTAAATGACTGTATTGCAACAAAGAACTTGCCTTTCAATGAATTTTACAATAAGTATTTTAATTGAATACCTTTCATACTTGTTTTAATATCGTATGTATCATTTTAACTAACCTAAGCTAGCACATACACATAAAATTAATTTTACATGATCCTTTTACCATGATAAAGATGTTTTTTGATTTTTTTTAAATTTTGTATTAAAATTTGATAGTTCACGAGACTATAATCCAACAGGCCAAACTTTTCTAGTGCCTTCTAAATGATTTTATGGTCATCAAAAATTGAAATATGAATAGTATTTTTTTTTATATTGGCATTAACGCTTTATTTTCCAGAACTAACACCTTTCCAAATGATACCACACTGTTCAAAACTACAAGTATTTTGTGGTAGCTTTAAGCTAGTTAACACAGTATTGTTATAATAAGGTCAGCATGTACTTATTACAGAAAAATGTAAATCTAAATATCACCAATTACTTATTATTGGATTTCAAGAAATAGTTGTACCAGAAGAAAGCATAGTCTTTTCTCCCTCAGACTGCCTATTTTTATCGCGATATTTTCAAAAATTAATTAGATATTACAATACGTACCGCGATACACTTTGAACAGGGGTGTGTGCCCCTTTAAGTGATATGCAGCCACATAAAAAAATATGGACTACAGTTTCGGACATATTCTACTATATTACACAACTATAAAAATAATACGATAAATTATCTTTTTCGTGTTTCGTCTCATTACACCTAGATAGCTATTTAGACCAAAGAAAATATATAATACTTTTAGTACCATATTTTTCTTTAGTTTTATAAGTAATGAAAACATGTAATTAAATGATAATATTTACCACAATAAAATTTTCGCCACCTGGTTGGACGGCTAAACTAACCCCCAGCCAAGATCCATTTTTTAAGTCGTGGTAGGTGTACTCCTCTCCATTTTTAAACTCTGTGTTTCCTACAGCCAATGAAAAAGAAGTTACAGGTTGCGTAACGTCAAGAAAGGAACTTACTTGGTATTGATATTTTCAACCTGAATAGCATCTTATCCTCCAAACGATACAAATTATTTAGTATTTGATGCGACATTTTGACGTGGAGATTTTTACAAGATCAAATGTACAAATGTGGACATTTGTAATAATAGACTGATTCATTGGCCATGTAACTACATCTTAGTCATTAGTGAAGAAAGGTTTGTTGTTCACGTTTGGTTTCCTTTTCCCTTATTTGGAAGGGGGTCACTATAGCTTGACTCCCCCTGTATTGTCATAGCACTAGTAAAGCAACTGCAAAACATCTTAACTGTAACCATTATATAATGGTTTAGTACTGGTAATACAATAAAAAAATTATAAAGTAAAGGATTTTAACAATTCTTTGGCACAACATTGAATTTCTAAGAGTAGGCAGATTTGCGAAGTTGATTCTTAATAATATAATCAAAACATCTGAGAGTTGAAGGAGGGTACGTCTGGGGAAATTATGTTTTTTCTTATATAATAAAATATACAATACTTAGTTTAAAATTCTTATGTAATAAAATATACAACATCTGGATTTAATTCCATTTCTTCTTTCAGAGTTGCTAGGCCCGGCATGGCCAGGTGGTTAGGGAGCTCGACTCGCAACCTGCGGGTCGTTGGTTCGAATCCCCGTCCCACCAAACATGCTCACCCTTTCAGCCGTAGGGACGTTATAATGTTACGGTCAATCCCACCTATTCGTTGGCCCTATTCATTGGTAAAAGAGTTGGCGGTGGGTGGTGATGAATAGCTGCCTTCCCTCTAGTCTTATACTGCTAAGTTAGGGACGGCTAGCGCAGATAGCCCTCGTGTAGTTTTGCGTGAAATTCAAAAACAAACAAATAAACAAATCAGAGGTTGGGCCTGGCATGGCCGGGCACTGGACTCGCAATCTGAGGGTCGCGGGTTCTGATCCCCATCTCACCGCCGTGGGGCGTTATAATGTTATGGTCTATCCCATTATTATTTGGTAACAGAGTAGCCCAAGAGTTGACTAGCTACCTTTCCTCTAGTCTATCACTACTAAATTATGGAGAGCTAGCGCAGATGGCTGTGCGCTATATTCAAACCGAACTGGTGGCCCCTGGTGGCTCAGCAGAAAGTCTGAGGTCTTAAAACACTACAACTCGGGTTTCTATAAACGCGGTGGGCAAAACACAGATAATCCATTGAGTAGCTTTGTATTTAACAACAAACAATGCAACTGGTGTGAACTGAAAAAATCTATTGTATTCATCTACGACAGAGAAAAGAAATTGAAACGATTTACCTGTGCTTTATCATTTTTTAATCATCCAGAAATCTATTTGAACTTACCTTCTTTGTACAGTTCCACTTCTTCACATACTTGGTTATTTACAGAACATTTGTATAAAACACCAGGTTGATAGATTTCACGAAATCGGGTAGAGCAATTGGCCTGAGGTGCAGTAATTAACGCTCTAGAAAAACATATGAATAACTTAAGTTTCTACTTCTTTTTTATATAATTTAAAATATTCCAGACTTTACTCATATTTTTCAAATTAATAATTTCGGATGTTTTACTTAATAGAAAAATTTACAGTTATTTTTATTTTTATTAATGATGTTCAAAAACAATCACAATTAAGTATTAAGTTCTTATACGATGGACTTAAATTAAAATTTACACTACAGAAATTACAACAAAATAATCATGTATTATTCTTTACAAAATTATATATTGACTATTTTAACGTAAACCTTTTCTTTTTTCACTATACACTATAAAACACGCAGTATCAATCACTATTAAGAGGTAGGATCCTCAATCATGCAAGAGCCCTTCGAAATCAGTGAAGCTCAAATAAAGAAATCGGTTCATGTAAATACACGGCGAAAAGAGAAGTATTTTTGTTTGCTTATTTTTACATGAAATGTTGAAAAAATAAAGTAATGAAACTTATCTTCCTTACTCTTAACTTATATTGATTAATAAAAAATAGGATGAATTATTTGTTAGTTCCAACCAGTGGTGTAACTACAAAAGATGCCCACCCCACCCGCATAAAAAGTGATTGGACCCCCTACATTTATTTCCCTATAATTGCAATTATGCTTTGGATTCCCTTTCGGCTGCCTTCCCAACCCCACCCTCGCAATTGCGGGGCATACTTACGCCATTGGCCTCAACTTTGAACGAGGAAAGAACAACGATAAATTGCAAAAGATTCGGTAGTAACATAGTATACGTTCATTTCCATAAACTTTTAGGAGACATCACCTTCAGTCAGTGACTGATTCCACGTTGAAGCTAGGGTAACATCAGATTGAGAAACACCTTTAAGATTCTTTGTCAGAAGAGAGTATAATTTGGTTGTTGCGCACGCTCTTTCGGCCTACTTCTTTAGTGCGTTTACTTTGACTTCCGGCGAAACAAGACAACGTGATAAGAAATTAAGTAGATGCTGGGGTACAAAAATAGTTTTTCCTGGTATGATATCACTAACAGTGGTGTCGTAATAATGGTACCTGCAAAAATGTCTTTGGTAATGTTCGCACCCAGTTATAAAGCATGGTTAGAGCTGATAGACTGGAAGTGGGAATAGTGGGATTGATCGTCACATTATAATGCCTCCACAGCTGAAAGGACGAGCATGTTAGGTAAATTGTTTCGATCCCGCAAACTCCAGATTAAACGTTTTAACTACTAGGTCCTGTTAAAAATGATATCAGTAATAACGAAACGGGTAATAATGCAAAGTAGAAATCGTTTTTATTAGACCTAAATATCATAAACAAAAAAATTCTTTATATATTTTTTTCTTTCTTTGAAGAAATAATGCCATTCTCAGTGTACCATTTTACCTGAATTCTTGGAATGAGTATTTCATCAAACTTTCAGTGACAATGGTTGCTATCGGTAGTTTAACAATGAAAAATAATAACCTTTTTTTTCTAATAACTTAAATGACCGTTTAATTGTGTCAATTGTATCGCTTTAAATAATGCAATAGTAGTTGACAATGCATCAGACTTTTTTGTTGTTGTTGTTGTGGGTTTTTTATTGAACCGCTTACATATACCAGGTTCGCTGCTCTGTAATGCATTTTAACATCTACCACACGAGCCAGCCCGGCATCTTGATGTGGATTAAAAAAATGAGTCATTCTGGAAAGGTTTGCTTTTTTTTATTAAACAAAAAGAAGACGTTTGGCACTATTCTAGAGGTCTCGGTCGCTGGACCAGACCCGTGCCTTGATCCAAGACCATGAGACTCAACATGGAGAAGTTAACTTGTAAATATAAAGTAAAACGATGTAGCAATGAAACATGCTCGAAATGTTCTAGATGTGGCTGTGAATGTGATGGTTTAAGTGTAGAGATTAATCTAAACCGTGGGTCCAAGTCGTATGAGGGAAGAACTTATTCGAAGATATCCCAATCGATTTAACATATCAGTTGAATCGGAAGTTCGTCAATTGATTACTGCATTGACAGCGTAACATAAAATAACTAACACAATAGTATCGTTATCTTTAAAAAGGGGGATTGGAATCATATATAAGAAATCGTTAGTTTCGATATTGTGTGAAACTAACGACACAGTAAAGCTCAAAGATGCAATGTTGATGTTGAAGCAGATGCACGATGCATTAAGATAATTTCACTAACAATTCTCAAATTAAAAATGAAGAGTAAATACAAGAAGGGTGGTATAATGCCCAGTACTGTACCATCGTTGTATAATCCATATACTTTCATCGTGTCATATTTTCATTAATATTTAGTTTATTTAGTTATTTCTTCGTTTTAGAAGTTGTGCCGAGCTTCATTCATCGAGATCTATCCAATTAATCCTAAATCTACCGGTTTCCGGATTGGCCCATCTGTTGACTCCTAGGCTCCATACTAAAAGATGCTAGGCTGGCTCGTGTGACAGATGTTAATTGTAACAAGCTTAACATTTTGACGCGATGTGCTCGTAATCTTGTCAGAGATTTTTACGGATGTCACCAAGAACCTGAGCACTTAAAGTGCTTTCTTCAAACAAATAATTTTCGGACTTCACTTATCAGTAGTTTGTAGGTTAAACACAAAAAGCTACACAATGGACTATCTGTGCTCTGCCCACCACGGGTATCGAAACCCGGTTTCTAGCGGTGTAAGTCCGCAGACATGCCGCTGTGCCATGTAGTACTGAATACAGTTTACACTATTTAATTGTTATATTTTGTTTGTTTAGTGAATTTCGCGCAAAGATGCTTGAGGACTATCTGCGCTAGCCGTTCCTAGGTTAGAAGTGATATACTAGAGGGAAGGCATCTAGTCAACACTACCCACTACCAACTCTTCAACTGTTGGTATGTACAGTATTTCAGATTTTAATATTCTGAGCACTTCTCCTGATGTGGAGTTTAGAAATGTAAAAAAAAAAAAAACTCTTCAATCAACGTTTAAAATCACATCAAAATGTTAATAAGAATACTAACCAATTTCCTACGACAGAGTAAAACAATCAATAAGTATGTTCTTGTTTCCCAGCCTTTAAATGATCAATATCTAGCTTACAGTTAAATAATGAAACACGTTTAAATATGGTTATTCGTATTATCACATTTATTATAGTCTTACATAAATTAATTTAATCGCTTTAGTTGGGATCTTTATTTTCAGTCACTAATAATTTATTATTGTAATGAAAAGAGATAAGAGCTTCCTTATAACCATTAACGAAGAATTTTAAACTAAAACAAAACAGTCTAGTTTATGCACTTTTGTGACATTTGCATATAGCTCAAAGGTTGTTCTGGATCACGTGTATTTTGTACCGATATCAAATCAAACAGATTAAGTTACAAAAGAATGTGTCCTATGTAATATGGCTTAACTTCATTAGCCCTAAACGAAAGGTTAAAGTCCGGCATCAACGAAATTCGGTTACGAAGATTAGTTTACTGAAACTTGCGACGAAGCAAAAGTGTTGACATTACTTTGAAACATTGGGAGTTCTTTGGAAGCTTTAGTTCTAACGTCGGTACATTTTAAGAAACATTTTTTCTTGCTGTTTATATTGTGGTGATTTATTATTCTTGACCACCTAAAACTGGATATTTGTTTAATTTTGTAACACCACATAGAGGGGTTTGTTACTGTGAACAGAATAATGATTAATTTCAACGAAATAAATAATTGCCATCACATACATGAAAAATGTAAAAAAAAAAATGTTCTGTTTATATTATCCCTATTGTCGCTTCCTGTTTTAACATTTTGAATCAGAAATGGTGAAGATATACACAATATACTAAACGTATAAAATTTTTATATGTGCTATATTTTATACTATAATAAAAATTGCACTTTACCAACTTAATCAAGTCCACACCAGGGCAGTTGTAACTTATGCAGTTTAATAATATAAATAGTGTATCAAACAGTATTGTCGTACTCCAACCAGCTTGATGAGTCATCGCATTGAGCGGAAGGCCTCGTCGGTATTGAATATAAAACATAATGTGGTTGACATATTTAACACATTTTTCTTTACTTTCAGTCATAAGTTCTCAGAATGAATTCGAAGCATTTTTGTATTATAGTTTATAGTATGCTATCTATAACATTCAGTCATTTTTCTCTCGGAAAATCGACTTTATTAGGTAAAGTTTTATATTTTGAGTTGGTTGAGGTAACGTTCACTATTTGTTCAATGGTAACTGTTAAAATTTTACTTAATTTCAAAACTTTGAAGTTTTAATAGTTTATTTTTTTAGATTATTATCTATTTCATTTCATTATATTCTTTGTCTTAAAGATTAGAAATTATTGAAGTAAACCTGAAAATATAAGCAACAATTATTTCTGAGACAAAAATAATCTGGTGACCAGATTGTGATTCGATTTTGTTGAAAAAATAACCCCTTAACAAAAATTATTTCTTAAAAAAAGCTTTAAGACCCTAAAAGTAGAATTTATATTTTTTTTCATACCATTTTAAGTTTAGTTGTACATATCGTCACGCGTCCCCAGTGGTTCAGTAGCAAGTCTGTAGACTAATAACGCTGAATTTTGTTTTTCGATACCTTTGGTGGGCTTTACGCTTTTTACAATTTTATTACTTCTTTCAGGTGTTGATACAGAAGATGTTAAGAAACAAACTTCTTACACGGGTGTCACTGAAATGTAATACCATAGTTTAGCAATATACGTTTGAAACTCATCCTCATTTATCCTTCCTTTTGATATATATATATATATATGATTAAGCATACACATACACATTTATATTTTCAGCAATAAGTCGTGCACACATCTTAACAGCATATGCTTCTATGAACGATCATAGGTTTTACGAAGGGAGGGTGGGGAGTCTGGATGCTCCTGGTGTTCATCTGTTCTCGGGAATGGAAAAGGAAAGAAAGGGTATGTAACTCTACACAGTCAGGCCATCTAGAGCAAAGTTTGTTTTTGTATCTAACCGATTATTTACAGAGCTTGGTTTCCGCTTCAAAGTGCATTTCTATAGCGTTTACATCATTTTACCGCGGACCAACGCTTTGTCTAATGCCTTCTTACACACACAAACACACACACACACACACTACTGCTATATAAAAATATTTTCTATTTTTAATAACAACCAATTATTAAAAATACTCGAAAACGTCCATCTGCAAAAATTAAACTCTTGATTATGAAATCAAAGAATAAACTGTTATAATGCAGAGGTAGAACAATGTATCACACACGGACAATATAAAAGAGAGCTTATAACAAAAAAAAAGTATGGGTTAAATCCCTTTGGTTAAAATAGCGCTGATAGTCTAGTGTGCTAACAACAAACAATAAGAAATAACATTAGCAAGTCTATTTCAAGACGGAAAATTACAAGAGAAGTCAAAAATTAAAGTTTTGCTTTAGAATATCCCCGATGCTAATACCTGTGTATATCAACTTACAGAGTTAAAACTTAATATTTACATTTTGCTATCACCCCCTCCCTCGGTAGCTCAGCGGTAAGCTAGACGGCTTATAACGTTAAAATTCGGGGTTGGATACCCGAGGTGGGTAAACAGCCTACTTTACAGCTTTGCGCTTAAACACAAATAAAACAAACCATTTCGTTTCAATAAAAACAAATGCATACACACACAGTATATAAAAATGTGAAATAAAATGAAATAACTATATTTTTATTACAAATTAAATGAAATCTTATTTAGGAGTAATGTCAAGGCAAATATACATTAGAAGAATAGAATTTTCTATATAAGAACA